CTTACCCCATAAATACAGCATAACTTAAAACTATATTTCTTCATATATATATATATATATATATATATATATATATATATATATATATATATATACTTTAAAAATCAGAAGATCAGTTGAACCCGCTACCTTGGTTTCAACCTTTCAATTGACCTCTTTTTTTTTCTATTTGTCTGCACATATCTATCTATCTATCTATCTATCTATCTATCTATATATCTATCTATCTATCTATCTGTCTGTCTGTCTATCTATCTATCTATCTATCTATCTATCTATCTATCTATCTCTTATTACTTAATTATTACCTATGTTTATTCATGTCTATCAAATTATCTATCGATGCACATATATATATATATATATATATATATATATATATATATATATATATATATATATATATATATATATATATCACGAACAATCGCATATCTTATTCATATCTATCTATCTATCTGTTTCATTCTATGTATTTCTGTAGCTCTGTTCATATCTATCTATCTATCTATCTATCTATCTAATCTCTTCCTATCTATTTTTATTACTTAATTATTACCTATCTTTATTCATATCTAATTATCTATCAGTATATATATATATATATATATATATATATATATATATATATCAATTACGAACAGTTGCACTTCATATTCATATCTATCTATCGATATATCTATCTAATCTCTTCCTATCTATCTATTTTTTATTACTTAATTATTACTTATCTTTATTCATGTCTATCTAATTATCTACCAGTATATATATATATATATATATATATATATATATATATATATATATATATATATATATATCAATTACGAACAATCGCACATCTTATTCATATCTATCTATCTATCTATCTATCTATCTATCTATCTATCTATCTATCTATCTATCTGTACATTTTGTCTATCTTCTACTTTATATACAGGATAATTACAAGTCTTCATAAAGATTTGAATTATTTTAATTATCATGACCTCCAAAAGCAGTATTAGAAAATGCTCTGAGACAATTTATATCTCGATCAATGAGAAAATGGTTTCATTACATAGAGTTAGATTATCTGTTAGCAAAACTCTCGATTATCAACTTTGATAGTATTCTATCTCGACCTGCAATATAAGTACCTGTCACCTTAGATGTAAATTTCTTGGTTGTTAACCCTGAGAATTAAATTCGAACACCTGAAAGAAGCGAATTCCTTAATATTCTGTTTTGATCGAAGTGAAATCCAGAGACTGTGAACTAGAAAACTGCAACCTGAACAACACGCGAAATTATTCAGTTTCCAAGAAATATTTAGGAGAATGTATAGAAAATTTGGCTCCAGTTATTTTACAACTTGTATATCTATCCATCTATCTATCTATCTATCTATCTCTCTCTCTCTCTCTCTCTCTATATATATATATATATATATATATATATATATATATTTTGAACAATAAAAATATTAAAAATTAAAATCTTCAGACACACTGGGTTGTAGATTAATATTCTTTCGTTTTTATTATTATTATTTCATTTAGATTCCTCGACTAGTTTCGGACAAAATGGCCATCGTCAGGAGAAGAAGTATTTTTGCTTGCTGGTAGCAGTGAACCACAGAAAAATTATATATATATATATATATATATATATATATATATATATATATATATATATAAATATTTTGTCTCATTTTCCCATTTACTACACCGTTTCACGTTAAAAAAAGTGCTCAATAAAAAATTCGAAATAGAATATGTAGAGAAAATATATCCTGATGAGAGCACTGAGATTATGTGTGCAATTCCACCATCTTAGTCCATTCTTTATATATAAAAATGATATGTTATTGTTTGATTTGACAGGCCACTAACCCCTGATAAGGGGTCACGTAACTTTATATCCATTCATTCATGCAGTTTTGTCCCCGAGAGTACGTGTGCGTAATCTCGACAAAGACTCTGAAGACAAAATCCAAAAACTACAAATGGATCAAAGGGTAGTAAAAAGATACAGTTTTGTACTTTGGTAATAGAATATATACATTATGAAATGGATAAAGTCCGACAATTATTCTTAAATATGCGTCCTCCGACAGGAATCGAACCTGTATCCTACACGGAACCTTCATATAGCCTGACGTGCTATAACAATTTAGTTTAGGCAGTAAAATCGACCTTGCTAACTAAAACGCATATTTTCTATGACAATTTCTCGGACGTTCAGGCCGGTAAATGTTGTTAATATTGTTTATTAGAAATAGAGCATTTACTTAAATATTTGTGTCTATATAAATAAGATTTAACAATAAAATATATTAAAACACCATTATATCTACCTTTTGGAAAAGTACTAGAGGCTCTTATAAACTTGGAAATGATTAAGCATCTTACCGTTCATTCTTTCAGAAAATCAATAAGACTTTCGCTTCTCTCGGTCATTTACCGATAGCATAGACAGTTACTGCTGAAAGAGTCGGCCATGATTTAGATAAGAATAGCAAAGTTCGGGCTACTGTTTTAGATTCTCGAAGACCTTTGACAAGGTTTGACATGCAGGCCGGTAAATGTTGTTAATACTGTTTATTATAAACAGAGCATTTACTTAAATATTTGTGTCTATATAAATAACATATAACAATAAAATATATTAAAAATAACAGAATACATGCATTAGTCCTTCTTAACATTATTTATTCCTCACCATTTATTACGATCTTGTGTAAGATTACTTAACGTCTGAGGCGTATCAATTGAGAACCACACAACTGTATCCCTTCATTCCTGTTACAGTTCTCCCTTCCTTCTTTTTTTCAGGCAGCATACTCCGATAAAACAGTCTAATGAGACTCGCACTTAATATTTGAATCTGTCTAAATAGTTTCAAGGATTTCCTACGAATGTCATCGAAGATTGAAGCAAATAGGCAACAGTTTCAAGAATGCTTAGTTTCAATTTGTCTATCGGTTTGTGAACTATAATGACACACATCATATGTTTTAGGAATGTTTTTATTTGAGCTCAATTCTTTCAACTCCGTTTCATATATTCTAAAGCATTTTTATTATTTCAAATTTTGCTTTTAGCGGATACTCGTATTTGAGTAGACGTTCCGTTTAGTTTAAACAGCATTTATTTCGTCTTGAAGCCTGCGTACTCGAGAAACCGTAATAAAATTAATGTACCCTCCGACAGGATTTGAACGTGAGTCTTCTTTTGCAGAAGAAATCACCCCCTGATCCAACGTGTTTGACCTCTCAGTCACGAAGACTTTTTACGATCAAGCAATTTTCTATTTTGCCTTGAAAGCACACTTACTCGTTCAGATTTTTCTTGAAACACATATTGGTTTAGTTTCATATCTGAAAAGTGCGCAGGCCGGTAGATGAAATAAATACTATGTATATGTCTGAGATGAGGTATGTTGTACACTATTTACATTACTTAGACTATTGTCCTTATCTTTGTTGCCATATTTATTACAACGTTTCGGCCTTTCAGTATCTGTCTATATTTCTGAGATGAGGTATTATGTACACTATTTACATTATTCAGACTATTGTCCTCATCTTTGTCGCCATATTTCTTACAACGTTTCGGCCCTTCAGTATCTGTCTATATTTCTGAGATGAGGTATTATGTACACTATTTACATTATTCAGACTATTGTCCTCATCTTTGTCGCCATATTTCTTACAACGTTTCGGCCCTTCAGTATCTGTCTATATTTCTGAGATGAGGTATTATGTACACTATTTACATTATTCAGACTATTGTCCTCATCTTTGTTGCCATATTTCTTACAACGTTTCGGCCTTTCAGTATCTGTCTATATTTCTGAGATGAGGTATTATGTACACTATTTACATTATTTGAACTATTGTCCTCATCTTTGTCGCCATATTTATTACACGGTTTCGGCCCTTCAGTATCTGTCTATATTTCTGAGATGAGGTATTATGTACACTATTTACATTATTCGTACTATTGTCCTGATCTTTGTCGCCATATTTACCCCAACATTTCGGCCGTTGTACGCTCCGGCCTTCTTCAGGTGGTTGGAATGTCGAACTGAACCTTTTATGTCCTTGATGACATTCCAACCACCTGAAGAAGGCCGGAGCATACAACGGCCGAAATGTTGTGATAAATATGGCGACAAAGATGAGGACAATAGTCCGAATAATGTAAATAGTTGAAATAAATACTGTTGAAAATAAACTAGGCGCCTATTCAAATACGTGTATCCACTAAGCAAAGCAAGAGACCAACAAAACTCGTTGTAACAACAAAGATGAACTGAAGGCAAGGATTATGGAAGCATTCAACAACTTAGACAAGTACCATCCAGAATAGTTGCAGGAAATTTCGAAGTCGTCAGAAGGCCATCGTTGTACCCAATGGAGATTCTATTTAATAAATTTACTCTTTTTTATTTCAAGATATTTTTTTAGAATTTTGGTAAATGAAATGTCCGTATTATTTTCATTTTTGTACCATTTAGACGAAAATTTTTCAATCGCACCCTGTATATCTTCCTTTTAGTGTGAATTAGCACCCGTGTTGATTTCAGCATACCTTATATTTTTTAATTGTAAAGCCACGGCGTTGGTGTCTTATTGTAACTACTTGATAGTACGTGGAGAAAAAAAAAACTTCAACACGTAAAATCAAGATTCGAAGCGATCAAGATGTTATTCGTGGTTACATTTATTCATTTGACAATCTGGTATTCTTTCTTTAATGTTTATAATTTCATTAATCAGATACTAGCAATGATTGTAATGTTATTTTTCCATGTTTTTTTTTCCTTATTTACAGAATGTAGGATATACGGGTGTCTGCGACAATGAAATCACCTCGAAGGAACCAAATACTCCTATACAGCCCACAATGGGAGTCGAAGAGGAAGCGTCGTGGTATGAAAGGCACAAGAATCACCTGTACGCGGCTTTCTACGTTGTTCTTTTCCTGTTGTACCTGTGCTATTTCGTATCAGCAATGTGTGTCAGACCTTTTGACATTGACAGCATTTATCTGATTATAATAACCGTCTTCATTTTCGCCATCGTGACATGGAACATCCTGGACAACACCTTCAGACTTCAAAATCAGATAGGCCACTGCATAGAGGAATTCTCTTCAAGCGATCATGGTTTACAGTTCCAGAAAGGCATCCGATGGTAAATAAACATAATTTCTTGAAAGATTCTTGAACCTCTGTTAATTACTGAGAATTTTGGACAGAATCAATTATATATATATATATATATATATATATATATATATATATATATATATATATATATATATATAACTAACTGAATGAACATCATTTTAGTTCCAAAGGGTATATAAATTCCGCGGCTCAATAGGGACTAATTTGATTTTTGTTTCAATCCCTGGTATTAGCAATTAAATCTATCTATTCAAATAGAAGATTTTACATGGACAGCAATGTAACCTTTTCAGTCATAGAAGCATTATCGTCGAGCATGGTAGACACCCAGCCATATTGTCATTCCTGTCTCTTTTTTTGTTTATTATCTAATCTCAAGTTGTTTCTGCATCTGATTATATATATATATATATATATATATATATATAAAAAGTGTACATTGAAGTCAACACTAAGAGGCGACAGTCTGTTTCATGCTAGACACAATCGTCAGGCCACCTACCAGGCCTGACGATTGCGTCAAACATGAAACAGACTGTGGCCTATAAGTGTTGACTTCAATGTTCACTTTTATATTTACACACGCTCTATCTTTGATATTGAGCACTTTATCCTATAAATATAGCACGCCTTAGGGTATATTTCTTCATATATATATATATATATATATATATATATATATATATATATATAATTCATACATGTTTCATTAAATAATATAGACAAGTGTTGTCTATTTATTTTATGTAAATTCTTTTCATAACGTCTGATAAGCTTAATAACATTATGATTAAACGAAGAAAGAAAATCACAATATTGATCCATATTTTTTAATCCAATCTAAGCTTTCGGCTTACATAAGCTATTATCAAAGATGACAATTACTCTACAATATATGAAGCAATATACAGAAAAGACAGTGATGATAGTCTGTTATTGTTTACATGGATGATTTCCAAGCAACGATAAACACGTGCATATAAGACGCTGGAAGCGAAAATCGCACCGCAGCTCATGACGTCACACATAATCACGCGAGAGTGAATTCTCCCGTCGTATTCAGAGGTGAGGTATGATGATTACTTGCATTATTTACATTACTTCGGCTGTTATCGTCATCTTCATTGGCATATTCACAATATCTCGGCCTTTGTACACTCCGGCCTTCTTCAGGTGATTGGAATTTCGAACCGAACACTTTATTTGCTCCACCGGGGTAGATTGCTTTAGTTCTACGTGCCATGCATCTGGCTCAAGAACAATTGGCCCAGTGGCTAAAGACGTTGATTAGATCCATTGACTAGACCCAAAGAATTGTTAGTTCAATACCAGGCCAGAGCAGTGATGAACTAAAACTTGGAGAATTGAGTTAAAAGGGAAATAACTGGGACTATGGCGGGATGTTCATATCATGAGCCGGCAGATATGATTTTTACATACGGCGGTGCAAATAATATTGGACGTGAGGCTGCATGGCTGTATCATATTGCGTTTCGAGTTCGAATGAAGCCGAGTCATCCAACGTCGCATTTTCCCTTGTTTTGGAGTCAGAATTCCGTCTATAAAGTTTGAAAGCACACACGCAAACACATAGACAACACACACACACACACACACACACATATATATATATATATATATATATATATATATTATTTTATATACGCAGTACTTAGTGAAAAGGGGCTCAATATCAGTGATAGAGCTAACATATTTTGAATTTGTGATCCTGAAACTGAAGATATATATATATATATATATATATATATATATATATATATATATATATATATATATTTGAAAAAAAACTAGAAATGCCATTTAAAAGCACAACCCCTGAAGACTGAAAATTTTACCAAGAAACAACGATGTCAGGATGAAATTGGTATTTAATATATATATATATATATATATATATATATATATATATATATATATATATATATATATATATATATCACACATATAGTGTTGGTTTTAATAAAACAGTTCAGATGTAATATAATAGAGTTTTTAAATATTTAGTATATAAATATGCATATAATACTTTTTATTTTTATGCCTGACGCAATCTTCAGGTGCTGAGTATGAACTTACTCTTACAAAATTTTATTATAATATATTATGATATATTATAATATATCTGGTTATCTCAAAATAGGCATAGTTATTATAGTTCATCTGATATCATGGTCCTCCTCTGAGACACTGCATAGCTGTCTGCTCCGATCTTTCTAAAAGGTTATCGAGTCCTGCTTTAAGCCATCGTCGTATTCCAACTTCGCTGTGTTTCTTTTTATTTAATTTAAATTACTTAATTTTATATTCAGTTTAATTTATTTCATTATATTATGTCACTGATTATCAACAAATATCTAACGTATTTTTTATACTAAAATTGTTACACAATATAATTATCAATTAATTTAAATACTCAATTTAATTATCCTGTATTTATAATTTTATAAAAGTATTTAAATAGAATCACAAAATAGTAAGATACATTCGGTGAATGTTAGCAAAATATATTTATTTTTATCGTAATATAAATGCACTAATTACGTACATTAGTTTATTTAAAATTTAAATTATTTATTATAGAGGATATACATAATGTCTCTTTATAATTTAAAAAAATATTACAAAATCAAATGTACGTACAAATATTTGGAAATTGATAAAAAATGAGAAGTAGATATTGAAGTTTGGTTTTTCAACGAATTTCATCCACCTCTATATAGGAACCATTATTTGCAGGAAGCACATCAAGACGGTACTCGATTTCTTGCCGTTGTTCGATGCAGAAAAAACCTCATCAATTGTTTATTATTTAACTTGAATGCCTGTAAGAGTTGCATTTTGTAAACGACCAATCACAAGTTCTTGTGTAGTACTTTTGGACATGGCAGCTGTAACTGTCTGGCACTAGTACTAATGGTCTTTGTAGGAGAACGTTGAAATGCTTGTCGCAAATGATCGATGTTTTTCTCAGATGTTCTTGGTCTTCCATCCTCCTTTTTTATTTTATTCTATTTTTTTTTTAAATAATAGAAATACATTCAATGTGAGATATTTAGACTTCATAGACCAGGAGTTTGTAAGATGTTAGGCAAGAGTTTTTGATTAATCACGATTTAAGGAAGCAAGTCTATACATAATATAAAATACTTTTAAAGAGTTTCTCTTGAAGTCAAAGGAGTTGTTTGATGCCAGGTGGCAATTTATAAAGGAACTTGTTAAAAAAAAAATAAGCGCTCTTCGGTAGGATACGAACCCGTGTCTCCCTGGACAGGGTAAACCGCTGTTAGATACGACGTGACTTAAATCTTCCGGCCATGAAGTACGTGAGGGATTTAACAAAGATGAATAGTGGCTAAAACTTTAAATCCAAATTTTTTCCTATATATATATATATATATATATATATATATATATATATATATATATATATATATATAAGGCTCAAACACTAATATTCCATGGTTATAATTTATTACATTGGAATCGTAATCACGATCAAATTCATCAGACCTACAAATTTCCAATTCCTAGGCTTTATCCATGACCCCATCCGCATATGCAAGCTTACAGGATCTGATACTCCCAAGCGGTCACCCATGTGATCGTGCGAGAACCGGGATTTCAAAGTGATATACCGGTAAGCCCCGATGATAGTGGAAACCACAAATAAAAAGTCTGTGCGTTTATTCCTTTCATTTACGTATTTTAAACATTTCCTGCCATTTAGAGTTTCAGGTGGACACATAAGAATAATTTCAAGATGTCCATAAGGTATCTTTACAATTTAAAGAAATTATTACAAAAGCAAATAAACAGAAAAATACGTGGAAATTATTACAAAATGAGAAGTAGATATTGAAGTTTGTTTTTCAACGAATTTCATCCACCTCTATATAGGAACCATTATTTGCAGGAAGCACATCAAGACGGTACTCGATTTCTTGCCGTTGTTCGATGCAGAAAAAACCTCATCAATTGTTTATTATTTAACTTGAATGCTTGTAAGAGTTGCATTTTGTAAGCATCCAATCACAAGTTTTTGTGTATGACTTTTTGAACGTGGCAGATGTAACCGTCTGGCAACTCTGATCACTCTGTAATCAGGTGAAAGTTCAATGTTTTCCATGGTTCACACCAACATGTTCGAGTGCCTGTAAAAATTGAAGTTTGCACTTTGTAAGCGTCCAATCGTTAAGTTCTTGGGTAGGAATATTTGCACTGTTGAACTTGGCAGCTGTAACTGTCTGGCACCTGTACGGATGGGTTTTGTAGGAGAATGCTTAAAGGCTTGTCCAAACGATCGATGTTTTCCTCAGATGTTCCTGGTCTTCCAACCATCCCTTTATCCAACACTGTCCCTGTCTCCATGACGGACATGACAGTGGATCTCTTTCATACTGAGTCCTCTAGTTACGCTGAATCTGTGTATCCGATTTTGTTTTAATAAACCATGACACACATTGTGCCTTTTCTTGAAGAGTAGCCATTTTTAGGACTTCATTTAATAGCACGTCTTTCATCACCAGGATACCTGAAATACACAAATGCAATGCTATTTAAGATTTTGATAACCACTTAGTACATAGAACACATCTAATTAATTAAATTATCTAATTAATATATCTCATTAATTGGCTTTGTAATATATTTTTTGAAATTGTAATAAAGTGAGTTTATGGACATCCTGTATATATATATATATATATATATATATATATATATATATATATATATATATATATATAATAGACTCTCCTGTCGGTTTCGACGTATGAGGATCTGCCAACTTATTGATTCAGTTATGAAAGTTTATGCGCTAATCTTAAATGGAATTTAAGACCCGCTAGTTATTTACAAAGGAGGCCACATATGGATCAAGTGTGAGGATTGTGAGATGAGATCACTGTTAGATTGGTTGACCTTTTAGATCTTGCTCTCGCTTCTTGAAGATGATTCAGACAAGCAGATTGAAAATTGCTGAGT